AATCTTAAAAATGCAAACATAGGGGGGTGGGGGGGAAGGGACGTGGGAATTGTATACTAATGAAGGAATTTTTTTTTCTTTTTTTTTTCTCTCTTCGGAGAGGGAAGTGAGCTGGTGGGGAGGGGTGGGCAGGGAGAAAATTGCGGCAATGAATGAATGGAAATCCAAAACCTCTGTAAAAAAAAATAAAAAAACTAAAATAAAAAAATGCAAACATAAACCTCTACATTTATGGTCACTGGTTTTCACAAAGGTGCCAAGACAATTCGGTAGAGGAAAGGGCAATCCTTTCAACAAATAATTGAACATCCACAGGCCAAAAGATAATAATTTAGATGCTTGTTTCACATCAGACACAAAATCTTACTAAAAACAGATCATAGACCTAAATGTCAGTGCTAAAACTATTAGAGGAACTCGTGGAGAAAGTATTCTCAGAGTAGGCAATAATTTCTTAGATACAATACCAAAAGCACGAGCACGAGTGATAAAGGAGCTCTTGTGGCAAGAAGCTGGGCTGCAATCCCTAAAGCATGAGGTTCAAATCCACCAGATGCTCCACTGGAAAAGGAAGGGCAGTCTCCTCCTGTGTCAGTCAGATCTGATTTGACAGCGGGGAAAAAAAAACTTAAAAAGAAAATGAAGGATCTGAAGGAAGTAAAGGGAATGGGAAAGATCCTGAGGGGACCTGAAAAGACAGGGTAATGATGGGTATAGTCCAGTGGTGATTAATTTTATAAAACATAATGCTTGAAGATGATTGTATGAAATACAGTGTGAATGGAGAATAGAAGGAAATATAATGTATAGGAAACCAATAATGTAAGCAAACCAATAAAAAATAGAAATTTAAGTAAAGTGAGAGACCAATATAAATATTTTTAAAATAAAGTGAAAAAATTAAAATGAATGAAAAATAAAGTGAGAGACCAATATACAGAAGAGGGAGAAAATACTTTTTTTTTAAATTTTTTTTTTTTATGTGCGTGTACCGTCAAATCAGATCTGACTGGTACAGGAGGAGATTGTCCCTCCTTCCTCGGCAGAGCATCTGGTGGATTCGAACCATGCACCTCTGGGATTGTAGTTGGAGAAAATACTTTTAAATCATATGCATCATAAAGGGACCTGCTTTGACTATATGAAAAAACTCTTGCAAGTCAATAAATAAAAACTAATAACCCAAATTAAGAATGAGCAAATGATCTGAATAAACAATTCTCCAAAGATGGACAAATAGTTAATAAGCATATGAAAAGATACACAACTTCTTTTGAGCATATTTGCTCATACGTGGTAGTTGACTACAAGTGAGTATAAACCCAGAAATCACTTACCACAGAGTAGATCTCAATTCCTTCTGAGTGACTCTATGGGACACAATAGAACAGCCTCATAGGATGTGTAGGACTGTAAGTCGTTAAAGGAGCAGCCTGCACCATCCCCATCATCTCTGTCATACTCCAGTGCATTGTGGTACTCACTGTGTCAATCCAGCTCTCTGAAGGTCTCCTTTCTATCAGTGACCAGAATCACGTCTTTTTCCAACGACAACATGCCCAAATTCTGTGAAATGAAGTTTCATCATCCTCACCTCTAAGGAGCATCTTGGTTGCACGTCCTCTCAGACAGACTTGCTTGTTCTTTTGGTGGCCCATGGGATGTTTAAGACTTGTCCCGAACACCACACTCAAAGTTATTGATTTTCTTTGGTCTTTCTTATTCATTGTTTAACTTTCAGAGGCTTATAAAGTGAATGAAAATACTAGATCAGATATAACCTTAGTCTTTAAACTGACATCCTTGTTCTTTAGCACGTTGGAGAGGTCCTTAACAGCAGATTTCTCCAGTGCAACTTGTCTTTTACTTTCTTGACTGCTGCTACCATGAGCGTTGATTATGGATCCGAGTAAAATGAATTGAGAACTTCAAACTTTTCACCACCTATCATGATGTTGTGTAGGTTATTGATGAGTCTTCCTCCAACTGTGATACCACATTCTTCTTCAGAATGCAGTTTCTCAAATAATTAGCTCAGCATATAGACTGAATAGGTATGGAGAGAGGGTACAACCCTGAAACACACCTTTCTTAATTTTAAACCATGTTGTGTTTAACTTACAGAACCTTGCTCTGTTTACACAATAGCTTCTTGGCCTAGGTATAGGTTTTTCATGAGCACAGTAAGTGGTCTGGGATTCACATTCTTCCTAATGCTAGCTATAATGTGTTATGGTCCACACAGTAAAATGCCTTTTCATAGCCAATAAAGCACAAATAAACTTTTAGTATTTTTTTGCTATTAGACAGAATTCATCTGACATCAGCAAAGATATCCCTGGTGCTCGGGCTTCTTTTAACTGCAGTTTGAAAGTCTGGCAGTTCCCTGTCTATGTACTGTTCTAGCTGTTTTTAAATAATCTTCAGCAGTATTTGCCAGTATGTGATATTAATTATATTGTTCGATATGGCCACATTCTGTTGGATCACCTTTCATGAAAATGGGCACAAATATGGATCTCTTTCAATCAGTTGGCCAGGTAGCTGTCTCCAGATTTCCTGGCATAGATTAGTAAGCATGTCCAAGGCAGCATCAGTTAGTTGAAACATGTCAATGGTGTCCCATTGATTCCCGGGGCCTTATTTTTTGCCAATGCCTTCAGTGCAGCATGAACTTCATCCTTCATTACCATTGGCTCTTCATCATATGGTACTTCTTGAAATATTTCAGTTGTCAGCCAATTTTTTCTGGCACAGTGACTCTGTGTATTCCCTCCATCTTCTTTTGATGTTTCCTGTATCATTCAAGATTTTGCCAGAAACATCCCTAAGTATTGCAGCTCAGGGCTTGAATTTGGTTTTCAGTTCTTTCAGCTTGAGAAATGCTGAATGAGTTCTTCTCTTTTTATTTCCCAATTCCAGCTTTCTACACATTTCTTTATAAGACTTTGCTTTGTCTTCTCAAGCTTGCTTGCTGAAAATGAGGAGGACTTAAAGTGCTTGCTGCAGAAGATCAAATGCAGCCTTCAGTATGAATTAGATCTCACTATCAAGAAAACATAAGTTCTCACCACTGGACCAGCTGGTGGAGGAGAAAATTGAAACTGTCAATGACTTCTTCATCTTATTTGGATCCACAATTAATACCCTCAGTACCAGAAGTCAGGAGATCAGGATACATAATGAACTGGGAAAGTCTACAGTTAGGGACTTCTCTAAATTATTGAGCAACAATGATGTCTGTTTAAGGACTAAGGTACACCTGATTCAGGCCATGGTCTTTTCAGTTACTTGCTATGTTACTGAGAGCCGGACAAGGAATAAGGATGACAGAAATAGCTATGATGCCTTTGAACTATGGTGTTGGAGAATACTGGATATCCTATAGACTGACAAAAGAATAAACAGATATGTCTTAGAGAAGATGCAGTCAGAGTGCTCCTTGGAGGCAAAGTAAAGCTTCATCTCAAATTCTTTTGAGAATTTTGCTAGGAGAGGCTATTCCCTGGAGAAGGACATCATGCTTGGAAAGGTGGAGGGTCAGTAAAAGAGAGAAAGACCCTCAACCAGTTGAATTAACACAGTGACTGTGATAACAATAGGCTCCAGTGTATCAAAGATTGTGAGGATGGCACAGGATAGGACAGAGTTCAGAGGGTCACTATGGGTCATACATCATGATGTTGCCTATTGGAGGGGTACTTACTATTATTGGGCAGTGTTTTAATCTTTTAGTAAACAGAATATTATCAGAAAAAGAAAAACTTTCAAGAGACAATGCATCTTGAATTCATATTGATAGTGTGAATTCAAATTTAGGTTAAAGTTTTTTTACTTTTTTTTGTTTTATATTTCTATCACTTTTCTCCTAAGCTAAAAAATCTTGGTTTCTGGTTTGATTTCTTTAAATGAGAAAATGAATGTGAATAGGATTGTTGTTTTAGGTACTGTCAAGTCAAATATGACTCACAGCAATCCTGTGAACAGCAGAGCTGAACCTTGTCCTCTCCTGTGCCTTCCTCACAATCTCTGACACACTCAAGCCCATTGCTGCAGTCACTGTGTCAGTCCAACTAGTTAACGATCTTCCTCTCCTTTGCCGTCCCTCCACCTGTCCAAGCATGATATCCCTCTCCAAGGAATAGCCTCTCCTAGCAAACACACCCAAAGTATGTGAATCAAGGCTTCATCACCTTTATCTCCAAGGAGCTCTCTGGGTGCACCTTCTCCAAGATGTATCTGTCTGTTCTTTTGGCAGTCCATGGGATATTCTCATATCCATGTGAACAGGTATGAAGGGTGAAATGGTGTAGTGTAGTAAGATAAGGATCTGATATCCCATCAGTTAGCCCAGGCTGTGCTGAAGACCAGGGTGTTCTCTGGCGCTATCTCCAGCACCAGGTGCTATCAGTTACCACTCGTTTTTACAAGCCGTCAGGAAATCTCACCTGGCTGGCAGTTCCTTTAATTTATTTAACAAGCATCTTTTAGCACCTTATATTGGGCTCCATATTGGGCCCTGAAAATTCTCAGATAATGAAGACCGCCCTTACCCTCAACACCCAGGCTGACCAGAACATGGCTTGATCCATCTGACACATCACCAAGGTTTCAACTGTTCACCTCTCCTGGCCCTCTTCTCTACTCCAGCTAGCTGGGTTTTGCCAGATAGACTCACAGGTGTATCAAAAAATAATCTTTATTGTTACTGGTATAAAACAGAGCAGATCAACTGGCCTCTCAGTCTGTACAAAGTGTGGGGCATAGGACCACCTGGGCTGCCCCATTTCTCCCATAATGCCCATAAGCTCCATGAAGGCGAGAGGGCTATCCCAAGCGCTTTCCCTTCAGGAGAGAGGTCAAGGGTGGACTGGAAGAGGGGGCGAGGAGCACTTTGTGTCTAGGAAGGGAAGAAGGAGCTGAGAAAACTGGAGTTGAGGAGCCCTCCAATTATTTGCAGTCTTATCTTTACCTTCCCAAACCCCTCCGAGCAGATGTGACGCTGAGCAGCCTGAAGCTGGGCTGCAATGCACGCGATTTAGCGTGACGTTCAGAGGGCCACGCGGGTACAGTAGTGGCGCAGCAAGCACGGGAGGATACCGCGGTTCAGCTGGTGGAACTCAACGAGCTGCAGCAGGTCAGTGAAGCGGGTCTGGCCATCGTCCATGCTGAAGTAAAGGCGGCCCTCCTCCTCACTCTGCGGTATGACCATGGAGGGGACAGAAGTCAGGAGGGGTGCAGGGCTTAGGGAGCTCACTCCTGAGCCATGGCAAAGGTCTTCTCCATTTCTTGTGCAAGGATAGAGGAGACCCCAGTCACACTGGGGACCAGAGGAAGAAGCTTGGTGAGGAGGCCAGGTTGCTGATTCTGGGGTCTTGGAGAAAAAAAAGGGGCTTACTTACTGGTAATATGAGGTAATGCTTGACTTTCTGCAGGTGGCACAAAGACAGGACAAAGCCCTGTGGGTTTCGTTGACTCTCTCGGACCAGGAACAGGCTGCCAGGTAACAGGGCAGCGTTACTCAAGGGGCCATGGCTGCCACCTTCACCGAGGGTCTCTCTCACCCCAGGCCTGTTGCCCCACCCAGCCCTGCCCCTTACCCATCCACCAGGCCCTGCTGCCCAATGAGCCGCTGGCTCTCCTCACGGGAGATGTGTCCATGGAACCAGGGTTGGGTGCGGTGGATGGCTGTGAGTGGGAGAGGCAGACGGGCAGTCATTCCTGGAGAAGGGACCCTGTTTCCTCCCCCACCAGAATGCTCAGAGAAGCCAGGGCACAGCCCACCCTGGGGTGCCTGGGCCCTCACCCACCTGCACTGAGGCTCGAGCCTGAGCATGGGGTGGGCAGGCTGAGACGATGGTTTGTCTTCTTCTGTAGATGTGGGGACAGAGGGAAGTCAGGGTGTGGCTGGGGGGGTGTAACCTCACACCCTGCCCCCAGCTAGGGAGCCTCCCCTTCCCCTCTGCTCTGATTCCACTCCAGGAACACTCATATGGAAAGAAGCCCCAGCATGGGCACGCAGATGGGTGCAGCCCCTCACCCTCCAGGCCTGGGCCTCCTCCAGCGCTGCACTCAGAGCTTCTCGAGGGTTCTCGATGACGCGGCCGGCATGGCCAGAGAAGTCCATGGCCACCAGGGTGTTATCGGAGACACTTCTCTGGAGATGAGATAGGATTTGGAGGGGGAGGGTCAGAAGAGGACCCCACGTCAGAAGAGCCCACCCCAAGCTAATGTCCCCCAGTCATACTCACCAAGGGCGGGCACCCCAAGCAAGATGGGCGGAGGTGACGAGACTGTGCCTGCTGGTAATTTTTATACAGCTGCGTCCCATACTAGGGGTAAGAGAGGAAGAGAGCCTGGGGTCAGGAAGGCCCAGGGTGGGGGTGGGGGGGGGCTGTGAGAACTCCCTCAGACCAGGTCTCCCCAGGAGGAGGGGTAGGGGGCTTTCCTTGAACACAGTGAGGCTATGGTTTCATCTTTGGAGCAAGGGCTCTTGGAAAGCAAGGCTGTGAAGCCCTCCTTGTTCTAGAAACTTCCTGGGGCAGAACTATGGCTTCTGTCTCACAGCAGGCATCCCAAGGATGGGTCAGCCCTCCACGCAGCCCCCAGGGCCTCACCTTGAAGAGGCGGAAGGCAGCCAGCCAGCAGGTTCGGCTCTGCTCATCCTCACAGCAGAAGATGCGAAGGCCCTTATGGCCATTTCGAAGCTTATTCGGCTGAAAGGAGAGGAAACTGGCTGGTCCCACATCTGCTTTTAGGACCAGATGTCTATCCCTGTGTCCAAGGGGCAGAGGGTTCCCGAGGAGCTTCCAGCAGGGCCAGAGTGCAGGAAGAGAGTCCAGGCACCCCACAGTGGAGCTCGAAAGCCCCAACTAGGATCCTGAGGTCCCAGCAGCTCCTGTTCCCTCCCCAACCAGGGCTGCAACACTGGGCATGGGACCCAGGTCAGCGGTCTTTACCTTGATACAGAAGCCAAAATCTGTGGGCATCCCATAGAGCTTGCGACCCTGGGTCACCACGTACACATTGGACTCATTCACGTCAGCCACGTACTGCAGGTGCCTCGGATCCTGAAAGTGTGAATGAGCAAGACTTGGTACTGGCAGGCCCCGTGATCCTGCGATGGTCCCGTCCACGTGAGCCAGCTAGAAGGAACCCTGGTAGTACAATGGGTTGAGTGCTTGGCTGCCACATTCTGCTTCCATAAAGATTATAACCCTGGAAACTCAGTGGGGCAGGGCTATCCTCTCCCCCAGGGTCACTATGAATCTGACTCAACTTTACACTGTGATGTTGTTGCTGTTGTTGTTGTTTTTAAGCCAGTTAGGGAGACTCCAGGTCAGAAAGGAGCTAGGAAATGCCCAAGGTCATGCAGCAAGTGGAAGTAAAGTCAGAACTTGAACGGCCTTTCCCTTTGCTACTTCTTGAAGCAGGTAAACTAGTTAAAGAGGGATGAAGCCCTAAACTGAAAGCAGCCTAGGGCAGGGAGGGGCTGTTAAGGACCTTAGCCAGGAACCAAGAGGAAGGAGACTATTCTAGAAGGACAAGGGCCTGGTACTCTTGTCAAGGGCAGGGGTAAGGACAGGGCTGGCACCTCAAGACCTCACCTTGGAAGTGCCCTTAGTGGAGTAATAGAGGCCAGACCGGCGCAGGAAGCAGTAGAAGCGTTTCCAAAGTTTGCGTCCGGACCCCCGAAGCTGCAGGAAGCCCTGGATCTCGGGGAAGCTGCCTGCATTCAGGAAGTTCTGAGGCCAGAAGAGAGCAGGAGAGAGGGTGAGCATCCACGACCCACCCATCCCAGGCCTCCACAGGACCTTCCTTTAGGAGACCAGGTGCTTCACTGTAGATTAATTGTGCCCATTTAACAGATGGAGAAACTAATGCTTAGGCAGATAAAGTAACTTATTACATGAGGACTGCTGGGCTCATTCCACCACGTGGAGGGGGAGCACAGACTTACATAAAGGTGAGAAGGCACTGGCTGACTCTGGGGACCCATGAAAATAAAATAAAATGAGGGGCTTCCCAGAGCCCTGGTGGATTAGAAGTGCACAGCTGACCCAAAGGTCACACCTCTGCGGCGGTTTGAATCCACCAGCAGCTCTACAGGAGAAAGATGGGCAATCTAGAAAGATGGGCAGTCTCCTCCAGCAGCTCTACAGGAGAAAGATGGGCAATCTAGAAAGATGGGCAGTCTCCTCCAGGACAATTTACAGCCCCCGAATCCCAGCAGAGAGTGGGCTGTGAGCTGGGTCTAACTTGACAGCGATGACATGGAGTCTGGGGTGTTCTCTCACCTGGATGAGGTCTTCGTGGGATAAGCCCTTATTTGCATCGAGACAGCTGGAGACCATCTTTTCTGGGAACAGGGAGTGCTGGTGGCAGGAATGGGTCAAAGGTCAGGGATCAAGGGTCCAGTTTTGGGGTCAGGGAATCCCAGCACCCAGACCCCAATCACACCCACTCACTGGAGAGTTCTTGAAGAGTTCATACTTGGCGAAGTTTTTCCTAAAGACAAATCGGCTGTCTCCGCCCACGGGCCAGCCCGCCTGTACTTCCACCACAGACTCGTGGTCCTCCAAGCCCCGCTCTGTGGTCAAGGGCAAAAAGCAGGGTTCAGGGGAGACCTGCCAGCACCCTCTCCCTCAGTGGGTGGGAGGCAGCCCAGGTGGTTCCCTGAATCCAAACTCACCCAGGGCTAAATGGGGGTGGCACTCCACTAGGCCCCAGTTCTCATCACTCAGGGCGTGGGCTCGCTGCACCAGCATCTCGCACACATGGCGAGCTGTGGCACCCGCTGCCACCTCCACAGAGCGGCAGGCCTCATCCTCGCTGTACACCTTTACCACCTGTACCCCAAGAATTGTGGGTATTTTAGGAGGAGACAAAGGGTGATTCCTTCCATTCCTCTGCCCTCAGGAACCCCTGGCCAAGACTCCTCATCCCTTCATCCTTCCCACCCCCAACTCCTAACTCCCCGCCCCACCATGAAAATGTACTATATCTACCCTATAGGTCACCCCTCAAATCCTGGCTTTCCCTTTCCCAGGAAAACTCACATGGGGGCGACTGGCATCTCTGGGGAGCAAGCCCCTTACGCTAGAGGTACCCCCAAGAATGGGGCTCTGGGAAGGAGGGCTGCAGAGCTCGGGGAAGGGGTTAGGGATAGAGGGCAGAGACGTTGCTCGAAGTTCCTCCTCTCGCAAATTCCTGCAGTGAGGGGAGAGGGCAGGGGTCAGGGAAAATCGTGACCACCGGGCTCTGGGTTACCTGAGCTGACCTCTCCCACAGCCACAGCCCACTGCTACGTGTACCTGCTGGCTGGGATGGGCAGAGGCTGGGACCGCTTCACCTCTTCAGACAGAAGAATATCTGGGGATGGGGAAGTTCCAGGAGGAGTTCCAGGAGGAGTCCCAGGGACGGGGCACAGGTCTTCCGGAGAGCTGCTGAGCTTCGGAGGAGACACATCCAGCTCCATGACATCTGAGGGAAGAGGCAGCTGAATGCAGACACGCAGGTGCCTTGTCCTGAGGAAAGAGCCAGACTTCCTGCCCTTACACAGCTATCAAGCTGCTCATTGCTCTCCCTGGATATTCCCAGGGACCCTTGGAAAAGAATGGTATCAGCCCCACTTGGCAAAAGGGGATACTGAGTCCCTGAGAAGGAAGCACTCTTACCCCAGATATCAAGTGAGGCAGGCCGTGGAACCTGGACTCCAAGTCCAGTGCTCTTCCTTTCGCCCCAGGTTGCCCTGGTGAAGAGATAAGAGGGTTCTCAAGACAAATTCACAACAGCAACAAAGATCCACCCGCCACAGGGGCAGGGGCTCCAGGTCCTGGTGTCCACACAAAAGGCCATCATCCCTGGGTGAGCAGGGGCCACTCGCTCCCCTGGGCTCTGCCCCAGGTTTTTCCAGCATTTCATCGCCAGACCCAGTTGTCAGAACCTGTCGTGGCAACACCTGCCAAAGTGATGAGTGATGCATAGGAGGGGGAGGGGATAGGGATGGGCAGGCAGGAGGTGGGAAGGGGGAGCTGGAGGGCTGGCTCAGCTGTGGGATAGGAACGTAAGGATGAGGCTCAGCAACTGCTCCAGCACACCCCTCCCCAAACCTGCTGTGACCTCCGGGGCGCCTCCTCTTGTTTTCAAGCCCCAGCACTACTGCCCCTGCCTCTGAGCATCCTCCCTGGATTTTCCACATTCAGACTAAATGGCTGCCTCTCAGCATTATGCAGCAGCTTCTGCACCAATTGCACCTATGCCTGTGCAAACTCTACGATCTTGGAGAAACGACGAGTTATAGAAAGGCATTAGGTCTTTTGTTCATGGAGTCGCTATGAATCGTGCTCTACTCAATGGCAATCAACAATAACAATCCACCTACTGGTGTGAGGGTACCCCAACAATCCTAGGCAGGGCCTGACCCAGAATCTTCTCATTTGCAAGTGCTGCACACACCCTCATGAGACAGAGGCACAGATGCCCACTGAGTAGAGGGTTCCTGGTGCATAGGAACCAAGTAGCTCCATTGACTGAGACTGGGACAGCCTAGAACCCACATCCCAACCAGGTCAACTCCTGCTCGTTCTCCAGGACACAGACTTAGACTTTCTAAGAGGCTGCCTGGGGTACTTAGGGTTGACCCCCGAGATGAGGCAGCATCTGACCCTAAAGTGAGGGCAGGAAGGGATTTGAGGGACAGATGAGTCAGGTGGGGCAGGGACAGCACTGCCTTGGGCTCTCCATTCAACCTTGACTCATCTGCAAACTTCCTGGCTTAGAAGAAACACAAACAACTCTGCCTCCACCCCCACCCCCCAGCCTACCTGTAGGCAGGGAGGAATGGAGGAGGTGCAGGGGAGGGAGGACGGGGAGAAGGACCTGAGGCAGCTCTGACATCATCCTCTCCTCCCCACCCTTGGCCTACCTCCTACTTTCTCAGTCTAGGTGGGACCTGCAGCCACCACCCCTAGTCCAGGAACCACCTCCAAGCTCAGGAGCCCCCCCTGGCCCAGGAGCCCCCCTTCCCAGGAGAGGGTGAAGGCCTGGCCTGGATTCAGAGACCCACCTGAAATGGTGCTGCCACTCATGGTTAGCATCTAAGACTCAGCTAGCCCAAGGGACTCATCTGTGTCACCCCTGGGGAATGATGTGCCCCCTAATACACTCACACTGTCTCTGGGTATCCAGCCCAAATGGTACCAAGGGAACAGGAGCAAGGGCAGAATGCCAAAACTCCCATGAAGTCAAACAACACAAAAGACCTCAAGAAAGGACAGGAGCATTCAGGGGGCTCAGGATCCCAGCAGGGAGGTGCAAACACCCATACTTTAATACTAGGGAGCTCTGGTGATCTAATGGTAAGAATCTGTACTGCATTTCCGAAGTCATGAGTTTCAAACCCACTAGGTGCTCCAGGAAGCATGGGTAATTTTCACCTTTGCAATTTACAGCCTCTGAAAGATGGAGGATGTTATGGGTCGGGTCAGATTTTATGGACAGCAACAAAAACATGTCAAATGCTTGACTAGGTAGGTGGTTCAAGCCTAGGAGATGGCACCGAGGAAGACAAGCTTAGCATCTGCTTCCATAAGGTCACAGCCTGGAAAACGTTCCAGCAGTTCTACTCCACCCACACGGGGTTGCCAGGACTCAGTCAACTAACAGCAACAACAGTACTTCAATACCACACACAAAGTCCCTGTCCCCTAAGTCAACGCATCAGGAGCCTGGTGTCTCCATCTAGGAGAGCTAAGGAGAGGGGATTGCACTTGCCCCTCCTCGAAGTCAGAAGCCGGCAGTGGGGTGAGGGAGAGCCCAGGAGTCTCTGGGAGGGGGACCGAGCCCGGCTTGGAGTCTGGAATCAGAGGAAAGGCAGGGTGGGTGGCTCTAGACCACTTGCCTTCAGAGCTTTATTCTAAGGCCTGAGAGGAGTGGTCAGGACCAGACAGAAAGGGGGAAGGAGAAAGTGGTACCAGCTGAGGAGTCTAGGCAGCCCCTCAAGAGATCTAGGGCTTTCTCAAGTTAGGGCCCTGCGTAAAAACTTAGGTTATAGAACCCAACCCCCAAAATCTATTGTCCTCTCCCCAAGGGAGCCACGGCTCCCCCAGCAGCCTCTCCTACCCCAGCGGCTGCAGCTCCACCCTCCCTCCTGCTTCTCCTTGTTTACTTCCTGAATCTTGCCCCACCTGGCTGGCCCCAAGGGCGGTGGCAGGCCGGGTGTTTAAGGCCGATGGAAAACAAGGCCACCTACGGTATTTCCCAGGGTGGGGCAGGGGCCAGAGGGGCTGACTCTGGGGTGGGAGCCTGAAAGGGGCGGGAGGGCCAGGACTCCGTCCTCCCGCCCGTTCAGGATTACTAGTGGGGTTGGAGGGAGAGGTTTGAGGGGAGCAATTCGCGTACAACATGTAGCAAAGGAGGCGGGAAACCCCCAGGTGACCTGGAGGTGGAGGGAGGGCCCTAAGGCCCCGCCCATTCTCAGTCAAGAAAGAAAACACCCAATGGGAGAAGGTGGGGGGCGGGGGGCCAATTCTTTTAAAGTTTAATTTGGGAAGAATGCTAGAGTAGCTGGGTCTGTGGGGTTAATCATTACAGGCGCTTTCCTTCATGGAGCCCCCCACAGCAGGATATAGGGAGAGAGGGGAGACGGTGTCCTGCCAAAAGGGGCACAGGAAGGTTTGGAGACAAGTGCACTCTGTGTCCCCTGCGGGCCAGGTAAACCTAGGTTCTGGACCCCAAGTCCTTCCCAGCCTCAGTGAACACGACCACCCGCCCCACACAACTCCCCCTGCATTGTCGAGCCCACTAGCCTCCCCAGTTCATTTCATTCTGAAGCCAAGAGGGACCCCATGGCGGCTCGCTGCACCCCACCCTCCCGAGGGCAGGAGCAGGGCTTCAGGGTCAGGTGCCACAGATAGCAGAGATGAGCTCTAGCCATTTGGGGCAGGGGGCTGCCCTCAGGTACACGGCTTCAGGGGAGATTTGAGGAAACCCAAACTGAGATGAAATCAGACTGGTTGAGGGAATGAAGTGGGCGCGCTCCCCTCCTGGGGCTCCTTGTCAGGGGGGCGTGGGGAGGGACGCATTCCAGCGGGAAAAGTAGTGTTCCCGTCCCTGTGCCCCAGAAGGTAATTCGAGATCTCCCCTTGGGGGGAATAAGTGGGAGAAAGCCTCCGAGTGTCAGGACAGAAGCCAGCGTCTCCCCATACAACTATGGTCCCCAGACCTGCCCGCGCTCCCAGTCTGCCCGAATTGGTCCATACCTGGCCTCGGCGTAGGTGCACCTGGTTGGCCACTCTTTTAGGGAGAGAGACACCAGGCCCTTAACTACCTGTCCCTCCTCACTGCCTCCGCCCCTGACCTGACATCACCAAGGGGGGAAGGGGAGAGGCAGGTGGCCACCCGTCCGCCCACCTGGGCTGCCAGCCAGTACCAGGCCCAAAGACACGCACAGCCTGGGCCCCTGGGGCGGCTGGGGGTGGGAGCAATTTGTCTTCTAGGACCGATCCCGGTCCCCTCACCTGGAAGAGCCCCAGCAGAAGCAGCAGGACACCGGGTCCAAAGTCTTGCTCCGTCTAGGAGCTCCGGACACCTGGCTTTGATTTTAAGGCAGCTCTGGCTTCTCTACAGGTGTTGGGAGGGTGTCCTGAGTTTGAAAATAGAAGTCAGGGGGAGCCCTGTGTGTCCAAACTCGAGGGCCTGGGAAGCTAAAATTATCCTGGGCAGGTGGGGGCGGGGCCTGGGGGCGAGGCCTGGGAGGAGGAAGCAAAGGAGGCGGGGGTGGAGACTCCCAGCCACGACGCAGCCTGGGATTGTTTGTGCCTGTCCTAGCCTGGCAGCAGGTGCCAAGGGAGAGTGGAGGTGCCCAGGGAGAGGTGGGAAAGAGAATCGAATGGAACAGCCTCAAAAGCGAAGATCCAGAGACCAGGCTACCTGGGAGGGAGGAGCGATGGGTGGGACAGTAAGGAACAATGGCCCCGCCCACTCCTCGCCCACATCCTCCCCCTCCAAACCCCCAAATCACTCCTCTTCATTGGCCAAGCTAAGGGGCCTGTCTGGGGCTCAGGTCCCACCCCCGAGGACAAAGGGCACAGCAATCGAGGGAAGCCAGCTAGAGGGGTGTCTGCAACATAGCCTGCCCCTTGACCTCAGCCAGTCTGGCCATCCAGACTATGGTCTGGCCCTTCAGAGCCTCCACTCTTCTGAGCAAAGTCCAGGGTCTCAACCTCCCCCCTCTGAAATCTAAGAGGTTAGGCTGGGTTACACAGTGGGAGGTGATATGGAGAGGTGTAGAAGAAAGATAAGGCTCAGATCTTGGGGGGAGTTCTCCCTGCAAAGCCATCTCTTAGCCCTCACATTCAGCCTTCCGCTGACATCAACCTGACAGAGATGAACATTGGGTAAATTGTCCCTGGGGGGGTGCTCTCTGTTGTTGGTGTACTGTCGAGTTGGAACTGACCCATAGCTGAGCCCACATCAGGT